TGACATTTACTACTTTTTCCATAAAAAATCAAAAGTCAAAGTTTTGGTATTTACTACCTTACCTATGTCAACGCCTGAATTAATACGTAACTACATTTGCTAATATAGTTGAAGTAGTCTATCTCAAACATGTTTATGTTGAAAACCTTTTTCTTTTTAAATTATTTTTCCCCTGCATAAATTCAATATATTCAGCATAAATGTAATATATTTTCCATGTTTATTTAACATAATTTTCTTTCGAAACCTCTACATCTCAAATTATGGAATGACGTGTCAATAAAAAATTCAAACTCAGCGACTACATTTTGATAGTATAAATCGTAGTTGAGAAACATCTCTTTAAATACAGTACATACTGTAGTTATAATTAATGCGGCTTTTTTTCTGATTGGCTACGAGTTTGGCTAGCTTCTTATAATTGGTTGAAGAAAGTCGGGCATCAGAAACTATTGACAAGCTATTTCTGTTAAGGTATGTCAAAATCTTTTATTAATACCTAATACAGATATGTAATGTATTTGCTATTGTATTAATAAAATACCGTATCTGCAATCAAATCCGTTACTATCTACTGTGCAGTAAACTCTATCTCGAAACTTGTTTATCTTGTAATGCGTCCGGGATGGAGCAAGCCTCTTTTCCTTGTTTAGAGTGCTTCTTTTATCATTATTTTGAACAAATGAAATACGTGGAATATTTTGTTTTTATTAATAAAAAGTAGTCTTAACGGTTTTATTTTTTTTTTATTGGTAAAAATAATGTTAATTTATAGGATAGGAACCACTATGTGGCCGTAAATTTCTCCAGACCCAGGTAAAAACTCCAATTCCTCCTCTCGATAGGTAACGTAGGCTGATTGGTAGGTAACGTAGCCAGTCGAATTCGCCATAAGAATTATGATTGAATGATCAGAGCAATTTGTTTTGGACAGAGAATAGTAATATTACTTTAGCGCCAGCGTTTCTTTATGAGCTGAAATATGTTTTTATATAAAAACAAAATTTCTTTACAATAAATTAATTCGGTTATTTGCGGCTTCAAACATTTAAGTGATTATAAATAGATATTATATTTGAAATAACAGTATAATTTGATTTAGAATTATTGCTGTAGCGAAATCTACAGGTTTCGCTACAGCATTCTGATTGTGAAAATTGCCACAGCAAGTATTTGCGATTTTAGAGATTTTTCTACTATCAACATTGCTGTGAGAACACATTGTTTTTTTTTTTAACAGAACATTGCTGTCATATGAAGTTTTGAGTCCAACATGACAATTGAGTCTTGTCTCAACGAGGAACGTCGAGGCGAGACTCAACTCTCATGTTGGACTCATATCGTACTATGATGACTCGAAACATTCATGGACTCATACTACCGTGTTTCCCCGAAAATAAGACAGTGTCTTATATTAATTTTTGTTCTGAAAAGTGCGCTAGGCCTTATTTTCAGGGGGAGGTCTTATTTTTTCCAGGAGGAAGAATTCACATTTATTATTGAACAAAAAAATTCCCAAGTCGAACTTAGACGAGAGTGACGTATATCCGATGTGTCGAACTGTCGCCTTTTTTTANTTTGACAGATCGCCATATTTTACCTCTTATATATAACAGCCAAAAAAGTAAAAGTGAATTTAAAGTTTTGATGAATGTATAATAAAATTAATTTTTAATTTTAATACCGAGTGATCGTAATTAAGTATTCCTATTCAACGCTGTCTAGAGAGATACTTAGCAATCCAAATACAACGAAATCTGGTATAGCGACATTTGTATTCCTTCGTTTTCCCCATCATATTTGAACCATTGTTCCGTTAGTTATCAAAGTGTAGTTTATGTAAAGTTTCTAGAAAAAGTTCAGTTAGTCCTTTTCCTGTAGTATCATCTGCTTTTTTAAACCCTAAAAATGTTCTTTTACACTGATTTCGTCGTTAATGAAAACCTGATCCTCACAGACGACTTCTCCGAGCGGCATCCGGTCACTTTTACATTGGAAATAATTGAAAATTATTTTGAATGCTTGACTCTTTTACGTATATCAATTAACATTTCATTTTCCATCAAATTGATGATCTCATTTTGTGCGGTTTTCACCAAATAATGATCGCTATAGAATCATGATTCTTTGTAGGTGTTCTCGCTTTGTATCGTCAAACTTTCTATAAAGCTCAACAAGTCCAAAGAAGTTCATTCTGACTTTTTGCGAGTTGTTGAATGAAACTTTTTCAGTTAACACGAACTTTTTTCGACTTGTAAGCAGAGCCGTAACTAGCCTTTCCTGTGCCCTGTGCAAGAATTTGCATTTAGGCCCCTTAATTTATTTGGTTTTGGGAAAATAATAAAACAAATACATTACAATAGATTTTTAATAAGATTTATTTTAATTGAATTTTTCTGGCTTTAATTTTAGCAAATTCATTAATTACACCATCACAGAGCCGTAACTAGGATTTTGGACGCCTATGGCCAAGAATAAAAATGGCGCCTTTTTAATTTTTATTATTAAAAAAATAATTTTTTGATTCTAAAAAAATGCTATTATAAAAAATTATCTAATGACATTTAAATACTAT